AGGAGGATCACTTGAGCTCAGGAATTCAAGACCAATCTGAGCAAGAGTGAGACCCTGTCTTTACAAAAAAAAAATAATTAAGTCTTCATCATCTGTACATTTCTTAGGAAAAACATGGTTAATCTCCAACCTGATTCTCTTTTACCCGTTTCTCCATCTTTTGCATTTGAGGATCGCTTGAGCTCAGGAGTTCAAGACCAATCTGAGCAAGAGTGAAACCCTGTCTTTACAAAATAATAATAAAGTCTTCATCTGTAAATTTCTTAGGAAAACCATAGTTAATCCTCACAAGAAGATAGTTTCTCAATTAGTTCTTTTTAAAATTTAGCTCAGTGGTTAGGGTGCTGGCTAAATACACTGGAGTTGGTGGAGTCGAACCCAACTTGGGCTTGCTAAACAACAATGACAACTACAAAAAAAAAATAGCTGGGTGCTGTGATGGGCACCTGTAGTCCTAGCTACTTGGGAGGCTGAGGCAAGAGAATCGCTTAAACCCAAGAGTTTGAGGCTGCTGTGAGCTGTGACGCTACAGCACTCTACCAAGGGCAACAAAGTGAGACTCTGTCTCAAAAACTAAACTAAACTAAAATAAAATAAAATATTTATTCACACATGGAAAAGGTTGCCAAGCTGATATATTTCTTTAAAGGGAGGATGTAGAAAACTTTTAATAGGTGTTACCCCAAGAATGTAATTCTTTCAGCATTTTAATTTACAAGGTAGATTTAAAAAAGAAAGTGCATGAAATGATCCCTACATCCTGGCTTTAATCACACAAAAAACCTTATAAGACATGTTTGTATGATCTTCCACACAGGACAAGGATGGACCAAGTTCAGGGAATCTTTCTGTACAGTAAAATTCTAAGCCTAATCTATGTATATTCACAAATGCATAAATACGTCTGATCATTCCAAAAGAGGACTACTAGCTTTTGAAACAGATGCTCAATTTGTACATTATTAATTATATGTACATCTACTGTGAATTGTAATTAAAAATAACTAGACTCTCATGAATGTGATGTTCTTATTCTTATGATGCTAAAAAAAGAACTGAATAAATTAATTATCACTTGACACTGTTACTTGCCTTGATGGAAAAATTCTTCCGTTACTTTTTCACTCCACTGCTTACTTAATTCCCAGGTCCGACAAGGGTTACAAATATCAGCACACTTCAAAGCCATCTAGCAAACAAAAGATTAAAATGCTTTTAAGAAAATAAAGTAAAATCTCAATTGTAGTAAGTTTAAATATACTCTAGTACTGGGAGAAAGAATACATAAAAATATTACAACAGAAAATCGTCTTTTATATTAATTTTATAGTGCTATTGGGTTTACCAATGGTTTTCACAGAAATGCTGATGAAGCGGCTGTAGACTGCTGTTCTAATTATATATGTATGCTCCATAGCAAAACAAAAGAGCCAACCACTAGGACTGGATTAACCATAAAATATACATAAATAAGCTAGAAAGAAATAATCCAGTTCTCTATTTTTTTATATGTGAGAATTTATTAGAATAAAATGCTGTTTGTTGATCAGTACCCCAATCTTGCAGAAATTGTTTTCATCAGAAATTTTAAGTATGCAAAAATACAAAAGCAATGGTATCTTCCCCAATAGAAGATTCATAAGTGATCGTCTATAAAGTATGTGTACTAATTAAAAGAAATTCCTTTTTTAAGGATTCCTTAAATCCTTACAATTTAAACACTCCGGAGGAAAAAAAAAAGATGTAACCATTCTGAAAAGCTATACCAGAATACTTCATTTTTATTTTAACAATGACATGATGTACCCTAGAAATAGAATCTTTTAAGTCCCCTTTTACCTGTAAAACCAAATGCCTATGTCTCGTGTCTTCTAAGCATAAATCGCCTCTGTCCAAATGGGATCTAAATAGTGACAGATACTCATTCTGGCGACTGATGTCTGTGGCTAATATCAAAGCACCTATCTGAGTCTCCATTTGTTGCCTAGAATTAGAGAAATATAAAGAGAAAATATGAGACTTTTAATTAAATAGTTAACCTCTTGATATACTTTCCTTAAACTTAGTGCTTAGAAAGCTTTATAAAGGCCTAAGATATTCTAACTACCATTTGACTTAAAATTTATCACAAAAGGGAATTTTTATGAATGCATCAAAAATTATTAAAGTAATAAAAAACTAAAACCAAGAGAGTTTGTGGGAGAATACCAATATGCCAACATTCCAGAAGAAGTGCCTTTACTTTGTCAGCCAAGGTGGAATTATTGACTTTAAAAAAAAAAAAAAAATCAATATACTATTGGTATGTTGTTAAAAAAATTCTTTGCTGGGATTCTTTACTGGAAAATCCTTGTGCTGAAGGTAACAACTTTGGTTTCTTTTTTGGTGCCTCAGATCTGAAAAGCAGAAGGAAGATTCAAATGGAAAGAATCAAAGCACACTCAACTGACTCCTAGAGACATTTTGACTAAGATGCCTGATGAAATTCCACTAAACAATTTACTACAGTGCAGATTCGACTATACATCTGAGGGTCAAAGTTAAGAAACAACTATCTGTAAATAAGGAATATCCAAATTTTCTGGAGGGAAAAAAGTAACATGTTAATACAAATAGCAAATACATTGTATCACTTTAAAGACTGCCTCAAGTCAGATAACAAAAGAAATAAATCTCTGCCTTTTGTTTTAATGGGCTACAGCAAACATTATCTTTGTAAGATGATCAATACTGAACTGTCAGCTTACAATATTAAATAGTAAATAAAATAAACCCTAAATGAAGAAAACATTACAGGACACTATTAAGTAGAATCCCTCATCTTTATTTTTATCAAATCTGAGAATTGATGAATTCAAATGCAAAACATGTTATAAAGGGAATAATGAAGCAAGCACTTCAATCAGTCTTAATAAAAAACCCATATTAATATATACACAAACACTGTGTGTTTAAGCAATTCGTACATTTGTACTACAGCAAGAAATGATTTCACTTACCAGTAGTATTGTCATACTCCCAATGGTATCCATGAATAAAGATTTAAAAAAATGAAAAGTAAAGTCCATCTTTTTTCTTAAGGTCATTACACAAACACTTAAATTTTTTATAACTTGTTTTAAATTATGAAAGGGAAGGGATAGAACAGTGAGTGTAATTTCAGTCTTAATACCCAGACATATTTTTAGGCCTCACCATTTTTCTCGACTTGGACAGTTTGATCCACTTACACGGTTTTCTGAAGCCATCTCTGCGCGTTTGTTTGTGGACCCTGCTATGCCAGTCCCATGAGGTTTTGTTAACATCACCATCATGTCGGGATTATTTATATTAGTGCTTTTAATGAGACCCTCAAATAGCCTGTTTAACATTAAATTATTTCTTCTAAAATATTTTCCACTTTTCCTTCCATTCGTTGTTTTACCCTGTAGTTCCAGAATTGACCCCATGTCTATGTTACTGAGGCTGTAAAGCCATCTCTTCACTTTCTTAGCAGTTTTGAAAACTTCCTGAAACAGACTTTGATGAATCTATTTATCATAAAGAATGTCTACTTTCTATCCAATTTATCTTTATACCTAGCTAGACCTTAAGGTTTTATTCAGCTGAATATAAAGTGGAAATGTAGAACACCTATTTATGTAATTAAGTACAGGCAGTCCCCACGTTACGAACATCCAACCTGATAGACAACTCACGAATGTAGGCTCTTTCAGGTAATAGATAAATGTGCCTGGTCCAACTTACATACAAGAACAAACCTACAGACCTATCTTGTTCATAACCCTGGGACTGCCTGTGGTCAACTATGGCCCAGCCACTGTGTATTTGGAGTAAACTCTTTTTTAGAGACAGACTCTCTGTCCTAGCTAGACTGTAGTGGCGTCATCCATGGCTCACCACAACCTCATAGTATTCAAATCCCTGGAATGATCTTTCATAAAAATTAATCTGCATGAAAATATTACTGATTATATTGTAGAATAGGCTTTAAATTATTAAAATTTTAATGTAAATTTTTAAAATAAGATAATTTATCCATTAAATTTAACAAACACTGTAAACTGTGGAACACCTGAACATAATTATTTTTTGCAATCTAGATCAGCAGAGGTATTGATAATAATTTTAAAAATATTATTAAAAAATTATAAATGACTTTGCCAACTTAATTTCCATAATTGATAACAAATACCTACCTGCTTTCTAATGGCATGTGTGAGAATAAACCAGATTCTCTCAATAAGCCCACTGCAGATCTCCAGTGGTGATTTTCCAGTACTGAGGTATTCTACAAACAAGAATTTTTCTGAGTTATTTAGTGGAAAATCTCTTTCTGGACATAATTATTTATTAGTAATATCAACCTGGTTAAAACTCTAACATTTGCTAAAAATTTGTTTTCATAATCTTCAGTTCCTCAAAATGTGAATCATTTTCTAGACTGCAAAAATAGTAAATTTTGGTAATAAAATTGCACTAACCTTGTATAAAGTTGCCAAGTAATGGTTAGTTTTAATAAGGAAAGGTTGATTAACACCTGGATGATCCAGATCGTGAGTGGCAGCTGCAATTAAGCTCAGCAAGATATCCCAGGGAGTTACAGAATTGGCAAGCTAAAGTGTGACAGAAGAATAACACATCAGGCACATCTGAAACAAGCTCACTGCCATCACGTAGCAGCCAGTGGCAGTGCTGGCAGTCCCCTCTCCCTCATGCACTTCTTTAAGCAGCTGTTCATTAAGGCTACCACGGACGTGCCACATCCTGGCCTCATCAGGACACGGGGACGGGTGTGACATGACAGTGATCCCGCCCACGTGGAGTTTACAGAACTCATGTTTCATGTTTAACAAGCTTAACCAAGATGGCTTAAGTATACTATAAACCATTCTTTTTGAGAAATAATGGCTTTAAAATGACAAATGCAGGCTTATACATTTTTATGGCTGTAGCCATTACTAAACAGAAGACTCACAATTTTGAGGGTGTTTAGTCATTGAACTTCAATACTACGATCTAAAATGCAAGGTTATTCCTGTCATCCTAATGTTTAAGGAAACTACTGAGTAATCACGTGAGCAGAAATCTGTAATAACATCCTCTCGCAAATGGATACATTCAGTACGAGGTACACAATGTATTCATGTTAGAAAAAGCAATCTTGTAAACCAGAAATTATAACTTTACTCTCGATAATCCTAATAAATAAAAGTTTATTATTAACTATCTACAAATTTAAATAATAAAGATTTAATCACCTAGAGTATTCCAAAAGCTTTCTGTGAGTTGCTTTTCATCTTCTGGCAAACTTCACACCTCTTAAGGCCCAGTGCCTCCCACCACCCACCCTGTTTTCTGTTTCCAGTGCCTTCCCCAGCAAACAACTGACTTGTGTTTCTATAACAGTGTATGGCCTGCCACAGTAACAATCATCAGAACATACTTTTATTTAGGTTTACATTAGGACAATGCTCCTGAACCTTTCATCATCTTATACCCTAACAAAAATTTTTACCACATGCCACCAATATTCAGTATATTTACTCAATTCTCCTTCTGCACCTGGACTTCCCCATGGCTGACACCTCCGTGACACGCTGGCCCAGCCAGTGCTTTCTGGCCTCCTTATCTAAAGTTGTCAACTCTTGCCATCACTTGGTCATTCTCTAGTGCAGTGTTTTTCAACTTTTTTTTTTAATCTTGTGGCACACTTAAACCTACAGTTAAACTTCCATGGCACACTTATATTATGTTGATCAAAAAAAGTAAAAAGAAGAATAGACTTTCTGTGTATTGAACTTCTTTAGAAAATAATTTAATTAATGAGCTTTACAATTTTTCAAGGCACACCTAAAATCCTCTCATGCCCTCTAATGTGCTGTGGCGCATGGGTTGAAAATCACTGCCCTACTCATTACTCTATTACTGCAGTGCTTGTCAAAATTCTCTTTATGTGTTTGTTTAATGACTGCCTCTCCCACTGGGATGTACGTTTCATGTGGGCAGGGACCTTTCCATCCTCGTCCACCACTATATACCAAGACAGTTCCTGGCGTAAGGCAAATGCTCAACGAATATGCATTTAATTAATGAAGGAAGACATTAAAAAATGTGAAGGCTCAGGAAGTGAAACAGATACAACCTTAAGGCTTCCAATGATTTAGAGCTCACTTCTAAAACTCTGGGTGACTCTATTTTCAAGTGTTCACTATGATAAGGGAAAAGGCAATTGCTTCATTTAGGGCTTACTGATTTTATTTATCTATATTCTTAATTGATGTTTTGGCTAAAAAGTTCACTGAGTATGTTAATGATGAAAAGTATTCAAAATAGGTATTCTCAGAGCTCTACAGGCAAGTGTTAAAAATCGCATTTGTATTCATACCTAGCCACATGCTTCCCATGCACCACTCACCTAGTATCACCTCATGTCCCTTAGCTAGTTGGGTGGGCGTGCCCAGTGGGAGGTGGGGTGAGAGGAGCCTTCACTAACCGGCTTGACCTTCCTCTGTGCCCAGAGAGCTGGCCACTGTTATTCCATTTATCGGACTGTATGGTAATCACTTATCCACTTCTCCCACAAGATTCTCAAACAGAGGTTGCAGGTTTGCTTTCTTTTTTGCAGTTTTTGGCCGGGGCTAGGTTTGAACCCACCACCTCCGGTATATGGGACCGGGGCCCTACTCCTTGAGCCACAGGTGCCACGAGGTTGCAGGTTTGGCTCAGAGTTTTTAAAAAGTTTAATTAAAAAAACTGGGGCACTTGGGAGTATACATTTATCGAAATTGTACACATAAAATGTCTGCATTTTATCTTATTTATGTATTTATTTTTTTGAGACACTATGTCACCCTTGGCAGAATGCCGTGGCATCACAACTCACAGCAATCTCAAACTCTTGGGTTTAAGCGATTTTCTTGCCTCAGCCTCCTAAGGAGCTGGGACTACAGGTGCCCTCCACATGCTGGGCTATTTTTGTTGTTGTTGTTGTTGTTGCAGTTGTCATTGTTGTTTAGGTGGCCCAGGCCAAATTTGAACCCACCACCCTTGGTGTATGTGGCTGGTGCCATAACCACTGTGCTACAGGCACCGAGCCAATGTACATTTTACTACTGCCTACGAGTTATACAATAGATTTTTTTTATCAAAAATGTCAAGGTACATACACTAAAAAAAAATTGGGGCATTTTCACATATTCCACAATCTCTCAAATAATGAGACTACCTATCCTCTCAAACTCGTATTGAACCAGTTTGGTCAGCCTGCTTCCTGACTGACATCTGCCACAACTGAGATCCTAAGAGTGAACTGACTTGAAGTAGGGCAAGGGGTAGGAATTTTAGAACCTCCAGGGACAAAGGGATAGAATAAGCACGTGGGCAAACATGGCTTTCAAGAACATCTGCAGCTGATGACTCCCAGAAGTTACATCAATCATTTCTTTCCTATGCTTTAAGACTTTTCTATCCAACTCTGCTGGTCGTCTGTTTGGATGTGGCACAACTCCACAACTCCACATGTCCAACATGGAACTCAGTGCCTCTCTCAGACCGACCCCAAAGCTAGTTCTTCTTTCCATACTGATCCTCTCACAGAAGACTTCCCTCTTCTTCTACTCCACTGCCCAAACCCATCAGTTATCATCAGCTTCTAAGGCATTCGAACACCACATCCTGCTCATTCTAATTCCCGAGAGATCTTATGAACCAGCCACCTCTCTTCTTCCCTAGGGTCAACTTGTTCTCTTTCAGGGAGCAAGAGCTCCTGGCAGGTCTTGTCTGATTCATTCTCATGCATTAGCCGGGATAATTTTCTGCTTCCCTCCCTTCATTTGCTGAACCAAGGCTGGCCCTGGCCTGATGAAGCTGATCCAGAGCTGAGCATTTAGTCAAGTGTCTTCACACAGCACCCAAGGGTTCCAGTGACCTGGCTCTTGCTTGGGCTTCTCCAGCTTCTGGCTCAACACCCACCCAGATTCTCCAGTTGCTGTGTGGAACCTGATCAAGTCCCTGCCTGCTCATATGAAGAAAGCTTCTGGTTTTAAGTCAAGTCACTTAGGGAAAAATAAAGTAAATCAAAAGGAATTTTCTTGGGTAGTGCCTGTGGCTCAAAAGGATAGAGCGCCAGCCCCATATGCCGGAGGTGGCAGGTTCAAACCCAGCCCCGGCCAAAAAAAAGGAATTTTCTAATTATTTTCACCTAAAGTAAATCCACCTCTTACCTTAGGTTCTTTTAAGTAACAGTGCATGGCCTGAGTAACGTCTGCAGCGTGGACTGCATTGTGGTAAGGATTCTGACTGTGGTAATCTTCTTGAATCATTACTGCATCAAAGAAAAAAAATCCCACTTTTATTGGAAATGGGCAGTATGGACACACACAAAAATTGTGACAATTATGAATTACCCACTCACACTTTTTATGTAGCTTTCAGCTAAAATTGCCCAGAGTCAGGGGGATGACATGTATACCCAAAGCATGAACACTAATTTTGGTTGTAACTTGTCTGCAAATGTTTTTAGTGAGAATGCATTCATGTCAAAATTGCAAAATAGTTTTTTCTTTTTCTCTTTTGAAATGTGAATCTATCATGGTGCTAAACTCCTCTGACTCCCTTTATTTAACAGTACGCTCTTTTCCATTAAAGTGAGCTCAGTTTAACAAAAACAGTACAATTTATCCAACAAATACTTACCATACTGGGTACTGTTCTCAATACTACAAATTCAGCAGTACGCAAAAGCTAGCAAAAATCTTTATGAAGCTAAAACAGTACAGAGACTGGAACACGTGAAAATGGTACATGTGGGCATCACCAGGGAAGTCAGTTTGGATCTGGAATTCGTTCTTCAGCGCTAGGGATGGGTTTTCTGTTAATCCTGCCTTCCTGTCAGTATCCGCTATGCTGTCATGGAAGAACAGACTAGGAACAGGGCTGCTGCTGTGCCTGCCGCCCTTAAACCTGGACAATAGTCCCAGCAGCACAACACTCTAATCCAGTTCTCAAGGAGAGCAAGCCTACCCTGAGGTGGATTAGCAGGACCCACTGGTAAGTAGGAAAGAGGATGAAAATTCGGAACTTCCATCTCATCCTTTTTATTGTTTATTTATTTTTTGAGGCAAAGTCTCATGCTACTGCCCCAGGCTATAGTGCCCTGGCATCATAGCTCATCGCAACCTCAAACTCCTGGGTTCAAGTGATCCTCCTGACTCAGCCTTCCAAGTAGCTGGGACTACAAGTGCCCACCACAATGCCTGGCTAGTTTTTCTATTTTTAGTAGAGATGGGTGTCTCACTTTTGCTCAGGCTAATCTCAAACTCGGTAGCTCAATCAATCCATCCGCCGTGTGTGTGAACCACTGGGCATAGCCCATCCCATCCTTCAAAATAGCCTTTTATTATTTTTATCTCAAACGGACCAGTGACAAATACCCTTGTTGTTGTCATTGTTGTCTGGCAGGCCCAGGCCAGATTCGAACCTGCCAGCTCCTATGTACAAGGCTGGCGCCCTGGCCACTGAGCTATAGGCACCAAGCCCACCCAACTATTTTTAGAGATGGGTTCTCACTCTTGCTCAGGCTGTCAAACACCCTTGTTAATATAGACTTTTGTATGTGTCTTATAATTTATATATTGGTAGAGTAGTCTGCTTTATTTTCAGGGGATACGCTCTAATACCACCATGGATGCTTTAAACAGGACACCATGCATGACACTACCTCTATGTATACTATGTTTTTCTTATACAAACACATCTGTGATAAAGGTTAATTTTTAAGTTAGGCATGGTAATAGATTAACAGTAACTACTAATAAAAGAGAACAATTATAAAAACATGCCAATATCACTACTCTTGTGCTCAGGGCCATTATGAAGTAAAATAAGGATGCCTTTCACACAAGGATAGCAATCCAGGGACAGATGATCTGATAACCACAATGGCTAGTCAGCGACTAACAGGTGGGGGCTCTACCACATGGGGACACTGGACAAAGCAGAGGTTCACAGCCTGGGAAGGATGAAGCAGGACAGCACAAAATTTCATCATGTTGCTCAGAATGATTTGCGATTTAAAATGTATGAATTGTTCATTTCTGGAATTTTCCATTTAATATTTTCAGACTAATGTTGACACCAGGTAGCTAAGACCATAGAAAACATAACTGCAGATTAAGGGAGACTACTGTCTAGCACTATAAGCATATTATTTATAAATTAACATAAATTTAAAAGTTTCTCCAAAGTCCAGGCAATAAATTTATCTAAGTTTTGTACTTAGGAGGAAAGAAAATATTACTTTTTTCCTTAAAAAAAAAAAAACCTAAGAAAGAATCCTCATGATCCTTAATTTCTTCTAAGATATTTCTTTACTTGACAAAACACTTTAATCTGTTTCCTAGCAGAGCAGTATTATATAAATATCATCTTGCACTTTTAATCATATTCAAAATAAATCTTTAAAGTCTGTTGTCACGGGATTTTGAGGGTCAGGAAAAAAAGAAACCTAAGTGCACTTCATCTTTTAAAGTTTTAGCTTTCAAAAATTTAGAAAAATACAAAAATTGTATCATCTTTGCCAGCAAGCTGTGGCAGTGTACGAAATTGACTGCAAAATCATCCCGCTGCTTCATTACTCTTTGCACGTATGGCTCTGAGACTTTGCAGATTTTCCCACGAGAGGCCCCGGGTCATCCTGATTCGATGTGCTGTGGCCAGCAAGAAGCT